GTATCATCACTGATGACTAAGCTGATTGGCTCTAGTGCAAGTGGGAGATTGTTGGAAATGGCCCTAAAACCAATCTGTGATGATACTTAACGGACATTTCACTGTTAAACTAATCTAGTTTAATATAAAGGGCAAAGATTATTGTTTGAGCCGTCTCAATAATGTTATATGCTTAAACGATAAGTCCAAGGAATAGTGATTGGAAGAATGTAATCTAAGAAGTTAGATTCATAGACCATTCTTCGAGACACTCCTAAATGTTCCTGATCAAGGATTCCAATTGGGCATTACAGTCCGCAAGATGGTACGGTGCTATGTCTTCTCTCAGGGAGAGTGACTAGTCGAGTCATTGGTGTGTGTGACGTCAAGACAAGTACGTAGGTGCTCAGTAGAGAATGAGTTCATGAACGCGATCACGAAGAGTCTCAACTCAGTCACATGAGAACTCTGTTTGGGATAATGCAAATATCCTTTGACCTGAGGCATCACAGTTGTCCTGTGGTAATCCTTGATTTGATTATGTCAATGTCACCCATCGGGGGTCCACGGCATCGTTGGGGTTAAGCCACTTAGTCATGGAGGCAAGTGAATGCGCAAACAAGGATCTCTAACCTTCAAACCGTTTGAGGAGAATACTCTATGATATGATTTGAAACTCTGGCCAGAGTTGATTGAGATTTAGAAAAGCGTTCTAAATCACATTCAAGGAAACATATAAGAACATCGAATCACATTGGATGTAGACTGAAAAAACTATCAAACCAAACAATGTGGTCAGAGTATAGAAGAGAGACCGATTGCATTTGTAATCCTAAACTGAATAGGTTCTTAACCTCTTTGATTACCTTGGTAACCATGACATACGGAGCTCACTCATGGTTGTGGAAGCCAAAAGTATTATCACTAAAAGGGAGAATTGAGTAAGTTTCATTCATAATCGATTTGAAAAGAGTTTTGATCGCCCATGCCTCGCTAAAAGGAACCTAATGGATTGTACACCGTAATAAGGTGAGATGGATGAAACAAAACTAAATGAGTAAGAATAAAATATTTAAATGGCAAGAAAAATGTTAATTAATCAAATATAAGTGTAAAGACCTCGGGATAGGTTTTGGACCTTAAGGCCCAATGGGCTTCGAACGGTCAAGCCCATTGACTTAAGTCGTATGCAACTAGAATAATGGATTCACAAGACCCGAAAAGCCCAAACAACCCCCCACCGGCCATATAGAAGAAGGGAGTGAACTTGCTTTAATTACAAGTCCACTCACAAAAAGGTATAAATATGACTATAAGCCTTTTATTCAAAAAGGGTTTGTTTTGGGGAAAAATTGGTGGAATCTCATTTCTCTCTAGAAAAGCCGGCCACCATGGAAGTTGTAGCTAGCCATCTATTTTCCGATGGTCACTCATTTATCATCCATGCTCTCCTGGTGTAGATCCATCCATTTCATGGATCTAAGATGCAAGGAATGAAGCCCCTATCTCTTGGGTGATTAGCCTTTTGTTTAAATACCAAAGAGGAATCTACAAGGTATATATTTCAACTCACTTTGTTTTGAGTCGTTTATTGGTTCACCAATCTACTAGCTTTGAATTTCATGGTTAAAGTTTTGTTTTTAAGTGCATGCAAGCATGATTCCGCCTTTAATTGTTAATTGCATGCTTATTGATGTTGCTTAAATGAACTTGTTTCACAAAATATTCCTTCATAAGTCCAACTTTCCTCATATCCGAGAATGCATCTTCAACAAAGCATCTCGAAATGCTCAGTTTTCTTCCTCTCCGAGAATACCTCTTCACACAAGTCACACCAGAGCAAGATTATCTCATATCTTCAGGGACGAGAGCAAGAGTATCTCATATCATGCAATCTCCTTGTCATTTCCTTTGTCCTTGTTCTTACCTGCAAAGACAAGGATAAATAAAACAATATGTCGGAACCTCCACTCAAACTCCCAGTAAGGAACCGACTACCTGGGACCTTTCCTGATTGCATACCTAACTCTCGAGTAGTCATCTTCAACTGTTGTTGGAGCTGGGTTTCCAGTCACCAAGAAGTGATGAACCATCCAAATGCAAGGGTTGCATTCCACTTCTACATCAGAAGGCAAATACTGCAGGAGAATATGCCACACATGCATGGGGAAAAGCAGGGAAAATACTACTTAAGCGAGGGAAGCAAGTAAGGAAAGTGAAAATGATACATTGAAGCATGTGGAGACAAGCGCAACAAACACGTGCTGATTCATACCTGGCAAAGCCGAAGATCACTTGCCACGTGAAGCTCCTCATGGTCCAATTTCATTCAAGATCAAGCCTCGAAGTCCTTGAAGAAATCACAAGTCCGATTCAAGATCAAGTGTCCACCACCCTTGAATCAAATTCCTCTCCAGATAAAATGAGTAAATTAAGATCTTCAATGCAAGTCTAGCAGAAAGTCCTACAACCCAGTTCAAGAAAAAACCTGTGGAAAGTTAACAACAAGTAAATCACCCATTTCGACAACTCTTTTCGCTAAGAGATTGAAGCGGAATGATCAACGATCAGCCTAAATGATTTGAAATCAGATGGAGATACTCATCAGGGGGAGCATCGAAGACATATCAAGATTTTAACAAGACAATCGAAGACTTGTGGCCATCCAAGGGGGAATGTTGTAAATAATGGATGTCCACTCATCCACTCAACAAGTGGATGTCCAAGAAGCTTTCTCAACACTACTCATTTTTTCTATAAAAGCAAACCCCACACAACATCAAGTGGGTGATTCACGGGAGAGATAGGAAGGAAGAGAGGAAGATGAGAGGAGATAATAGATAGAGTTATCTTTGTACTCCTATTATTCCAAATTATAATGAAAGCACCACTGCTGCCCCGAGGACGTACTCCAATCACACTGACTGTAGAGGAACCTTGTAAATTTTGTATCTTGTTTATTTATTCCACTGCACACATCATCGATTTTACAACACCCTTAAAAAAAAGGCCTGAAACCCATCCTTCACCCCCCCAACCCCCATCCCAACCTACCTCACCTACAATCCCCCACCCCTCACCTCCCCGAAACCTCAATTCTGTTTGAAAAAAAATTAAAAATTAAAAAAAATTAAAAAAAAACAAAACAGAAATCCCCGACCCACTTCTCCCTCTTCTCCACTCTCTTCACCTTCATTTCCTTCCCTCTTCCCAAATCAACGCCGCCCTTTCCCCATCACCACCGCAAAGCTCTTTCTCCTATCCATCTGCTCCTCATGGAGGTCCCCTGTCACCACCCAATCTAGTAGTCCACCGGGCCAATTTCTCATTGTCGCCATGCTGCTCCTGCTCATTGTCGTCTTCGGCGACGAAGATGATGCGAGGGAGGATGACATCCTTAGGGTTCAAATTCGCATTGGGGTGGGTTCGGATGGGATGGGGGTTGCGGGGAGGGCTGGGTTTCAATCCTTTTTTTTTAATTATTATTATTATTATTTGCAGGGGTGGGGGGTTGCGCGGACATGGGTCGAGAAGGTGAAGAGGGAAGAGTGGTCTGGGGGCTACGATGGTGATGGGGAAGAGCTATGGTGGTGATGGGAAGAGAGGGAGGTGGGTCGGGGGGAAGGTTTCTAGGTTTGTTTGTAAGGGTGGGGGTTGAGCAGAGGTGGGTTTCAATTTGGGTTGTTTTTTTAAGGGTAAATTATTATAATATTTTAAACGAATAAAATAGTAGTTGAGGTATGAAAGTGAAATGTTTTGAAGATATTGTATACGATTGTAATTGACCCCAAACATGAGGGGGTACTGTGTAATTTACCCATACTTAAATGAACACACATTATATGTTTGTTCCTCATGTTTTCATTATGTTCTAATACTTCATAATATATGTCATTCTATTTTGTAGTTTATAATGTAAGTATATAAGTATATATATATATATATATATATATATATATATATATATATATTAAGTATAAAGAGACACTTATTTACATGAAATGTAACAGATAGATTTACTTAAATCCACCTAGTCTGCCTAGTCCCTGCTATCAACCTAGGCGGTAGGCCCCAGCCCATTGCCTGACTAGCGCTTAGTGTCTTTTTGAACCTTGTTGAAAAATATGTGAAATAATGTGTATTAAATGTGAAAAATATGTAAGTATGTGTTTAATATATGTTGTATACGTTGGAGTTTGAAAATGTGTAATTTAACGAATAATTAAAACATGTACAGAAAATGGAAGTATTTTTGAAAAATGCATAAGTTGTTGGAATGTGTCCTAAAGTCAATCATGAGATGATACTTTACAAACATTTGAAATTATTAAATTAATCTAGTTTAAGCTAAGGGAAAACAAAATGGTTTAAAGTCGTTTCATTAAATGTTATACGCCTAAACGATACGTCTAAGAAATATGTAATAAAGAGAATGTGATCTAAAGATATTAGATTCATGAGACCTATTTCTTTCATACACGTATCCTACAAGTTCATGATCATAGGATTACCAATTTAGCATTAACAATCTGGATAAATCAGTACATACTATGTCTTCTCTCTAGAGAGTGATTGGTTTCTGGTCTCGAGTCATTGGTCTATGGATGACACCAAGACAAGTATGTAGATGCTCAATAAATGGTGAATATACTAAACGCGATCAACCAAAAGTTCTCATATTCATGTCACATGAAAACTCACTAGTTGAGATAATGTAAAGTAGTCATTTGACGTGGTACATCATAGTTGTTTTGTGATTATGTCTTTAATCTTTAATTATGTTAAAGACACTCCAATTCGAAAGTGCACCACGCCATTATTGGGGTTTACATGCACATTCACTAACTAAGTTCTAATTAAATTAATTAATTGCAACATCATAATAAAGTAATACACCACCTTTTAGTGTACGTGGCATGCCCATATCTAATTAAGCCATATATACAGCACAAACGTAATTTGGTAGTGGATGGGTGATCGACTCTCCCACTCTGTAGATTTACATAGACAGACCTAGTTTTGGCAAAAACAAACGGAACCTGTGGGTTTTGCATTCCAAAGCAGACAGAGGCAAAACCATGGGCAGTTTTCTGCTGTCTTCTGCACAAACAAAACCTGCCAGACCAAAACTGGCTGCTCCGCCCTCTCTATATAGCTCATACCGCTTCTCCATTGAATCTCTGTCACACAATCTAGTACACCAACACCAGCACCAACCCCAACACCAAACCTCTCTCCCTTCTCTCACCTCTCTCTCTCTCTCTCTCTCTCTCTCTCTCTCTCTCTCTACATTATCTTCTGCTTCTGCCACACATTTCTGCAAAAAGCTGACCAATTACTCTCATTCTTTTCCATCCGTGGAGGTGCCTCTGGACATGTTGATGTAACAAGTCGGTTGCAATCTCTCAGTTTCTGGTACTTTTGGGCTGTTTTATTTTCTGGGTTTTTGTCCAAATTTCATTTCATTTATTGCGTATTTTCATTTTTCTTTTTTGTTTCTGAGTTTTGTTCAGTGCATGTATCCTTATAAAATCGTTGGATTGAGAGATAAATTTAGTATTTGGGTTTTTGGGTTTTATCTCAAAGTTTTGTTCTTTTGTGAAATTGGTAGAATAAGAGCAGTTTTGTAAGAGTTTGGGATGGAAGCCAATGGGTTGTTTTCTGGAATGCTTGGCCTGGAAATGCCTTTGCACCAAAACCCCCAAAACCCTCACCACCTTATGCACCAACCCCAAATGGTTGCCTATGCCCCCCACCATGACCCCGACAACCACCAAAACCCTCACCAATCTGTGAAACAGAGGCACCCATTTGCCCCCAAATCCAAACAAATTGCCCTCAGTGATGATGACGAACCCGGTTTCGGTGCTGATGACAACAGCAATGGGGATAACAAGAAGAAGATATCGCCATGGCAGAGAATGAAGTGGACCGACACCATGGTGAGTCTCCTGATCATGGCTGTGTTTTACATTGGTGACGAGGCTTCTGATGGCCCTGATCCTACAGGCAAGAAGAAGCCTGCTGGTGGGTTGCTGCAGAAGAAAGGGAAGTGGAAATCGGTGTCCCGAGCTATGATGGAGAAGGGTTTCTACGTGTCGCCACAGCAATGTGAGGACAAGTTCAATGATTTGAATAAGAGGTATAAGAGGGTTAATGATATTCTTGGAAAGGGGACAGCTTGCCGGGTTGTGGAGAATCAGGGCTTGTTGGAAAAGATGGATTTGGCACCAAAGATGAAGGAAGAAGTTCGTAAATTGCTGAATTCGAAGCACCTGTTTTTCAGAGAAATGTGTGCTTATCATAATAGTTGTGGTCATGAAACTGTTGGTGGTCGGTCTAATGGCGCGCATAACTCCCCGCCACAGGTGGCCACAGAGCCGTCTGAGATACAAGTGTGGCCGCAGCCGCACGAGCAGCTCCAGCAGCAGAGATGCTTTCATTCATCAGAAAATGCTCAAGCGGTTGCCAATTCAGGAAGGTCAGAGACCAAGGGATCCAAGGTAATAAAAGGAGGAAGTGGCTGCGAGGACGAAGATGAAGAATTCGAGGATGATGATTCGGATGACGAGGTGGTTGGAGGTGGTTCTAGAGGTCACATTGGGCATGGAAATCACGAAGACAACGATGACAACGATGACAACGATGAAAGAGCTCCCCAGAAAGTGCCGAGAAAGGAAGGCTGTTTTTCGGGGTCATCCTCATCCACCCATTTAATGCAGCAATTGGGCTGTGAGGTGAGGGTTGTGCTGCAAGATGTGTCAAAGACCCCGTGGGAGAAGAAGCAGTGGTTGAAAACAAGGATAATAAAATTGCAGGAACAGCAAGTGAGCTACCAACACCGAGCTTTCGAGCTCGAGAAGCAGAGGCTCAAGTGGATCAAGTACAGTGGGAAGAAGGAAAGGTACATGGAGAGACGCAAGCTTGAGAACGAGAGAAGGCGGCTTGAGAACGAGAGGATGTTGTTGGTCGTCCGCGGGAAGGAGTTTGATTTGCTGGAGCTTCATCACCAGCAGCAGCAACAGAATTCTTCAAACAAAAGAAGTGATCCATCTTCCCTCACTGGATAGCTGTAAATTTTATAGGTTGGGATCAGGTGGATGATATTCTCATTTTTGTTCTGAAGTTTTTTTTATTTTGTTTTTATTTTGTTTTTATCTATTTTAGATACCGGGGGTTATTTTTATTTTCTTGTCAACAATATATTTTATTAGATTAGATGTTAGATTAGCAGCCGACGGAGTTTGAACTCTAGTCATTGTGGATGCAAATTTTCATCATCTTCTCTTTTGACGAAAATGCACCTGCAAAATAATAACATATAAAATTAAGGTCAAAAGCCTCATGTGGCCACGATGAATGGGGGGTTTTGGCCTCCGATGCCAAAGTTAGAATTCTGAAGAAAAAAAGTGTTAAGAAGTTTGTGGATAGCAAAATGACCTAGCTTTTTAGTGAGATAACAGGGCTATTTATATAGGAGTAGCTGGCCCTATTTGGAGAATAGTGTCCAGTCATTTATGGAGGAATGGCCGGCCTTATTTGGAGAATAGGTCCGGCCATATATGATGTATTTGAAGAATAATTGTGAGATATATATATTATGTAAAATAATATATTGCAATTAATATGGTAATTAATCCCAAATTAAATAGGAAGTTTTGGGAGTTACCTTTTGAATAAGGATTTAATTATGAATGATTAGAGGGATTTGAATAAATATCATTTTGATCACCTTTGACTCTTTCTTTACTGAGCTTTTATTGTCTGTTGCATACGCGTGGGAATCCCGGTGTGCCTCAAGGTTAATTTTATCATTTTCATCTAAAAATCCGCGTGTCACCTCCATAATTTTCTTGATTATTTTTTGCTACACAAATGCCACCACACCTATTAGGCTGCTCGCAGGAAATGGCAGTAGGTGTAGAGATCTTTAACTTTGATGCAAATCCCCACTTGGACTTGGAATTAGATTCTTCCAGAAAAGGGAAATAAATCGTCACCAAAGCCTATTTAAGCCTACCTTAAGTAAGGGATTAAATCAACTTCGGATGACAATTATTTGTCCCTACAAAAAAGAGAGAAAGCTAGAGGATATTCGTTTCCCTTCCCCTAGCATTCTTCTTCGCTTGCTTGTGCAAAGAACCATCTTCCGTTGATTTCTTTGTTTTCTCTGCGCCGCACCAAGGTAAGAAAAACTTAATTTTCTTTCTCTTCTTCTTGGGTGGTGCTGGTGCGGGGCTGCCGTCGAAGTGGTGCAACACATCAACTGGCAGGGGTCAGGAGTCGACTCAGCATGAGGCAAGAAGGTAGTGTGGCAAGGGCCACAGCTTGGCTAAAGCCAAGGGTTGGCTCGGCATCGTTCGAGGAAGTATCGTAGCATGGGCCACGGTTTGGACTGCTTGCTAAAAATGAGGAAATTGCTGAGTTTGATTTCTCAACTGTTATAGATGGAGCAATTAAGAACGAAGCTGCTGAAGATGAAGAGTCGAATGGGCAAACTGATGAGTGTGAAGTGGCTGCTCAAGGTAGGATGGCTGCTGGATAGCCCATGGTCATCCAAGCTGCTAAATGAGTAGTCTTCTCTGTTTAGCATGTGTCGAATATCAACGACCTTCGTATAAGTTTATCAATTTGCTAGAAATTTAATAAACTGCTTTCACTTAACTCCATCTTTGTTTTCTTGAAACTTTGCTTGCTTGAAGTGTCTTGCAAAACTTTTAGCCATAAAACCGTTAGTTGAGCATGTTAATTCAAAAAAGGCTGACGATCACATGGAGTCACTATGGTTATGAGTTGCGGCTTCTTGAAGTGTCTAGCTGTTGAGTTCGTCGTCGACTACTGCCCCTAACCATTTGTTACGTAGCTGGTATTCGAGTATTCGATCATTTGAGTTGTGTGGCCCAGATGGGTGTGGGGAATTGGTTTTCCCTCTTGCACTGGAGAGCTTACCCAGATGGGTGTCGGGGAAATTGGTTTATCATCTCGTGCTAGAGAGCTTACCTAGATGGGTGTTGGGGAATTAGTTTACCCTCTCGTACTGGAGAGCAATTAGTTTACCCTCTCGCACTAGAAAGTTTACCCATATGAGTGTCGGGGAATTGGTTTACCCTCTCGCACTTGAGAGCAATTAGTTTACCCTCTCGCACTGGAAAGCTTACCCAAATGGGTGTCGAGGAATTGGTTTACTCTCTCACACTGGAAAGCAATTAGTTTATCCTCTTGCACTAAAGAGCATACCCAGATGGGTGTCCGGCAATTAGTTTAACCTCTCGCATTGGAGAGCTTACCCAAATGGGTGTTGGGGAATTGGTTTACCCTCTTGCATTAGAGAGCAATTAGTTTATCCTCTTGCACTGGAGAGCAAACCCAGATGGGTGTCGGGGAATTGGTTTACCCTCTCACACTGGAGATAAATTAGTTTATCCTCTCACACTGGAGAGCTTACCCATATTGGTATTAGGGACCTTGTTTACCCTTTCGTACTGGAGAGCAATTAGTTTATCCTCTTGCACTAGAGAGCAGACCCTTATAGGTGTCGGGGGATTGGTTTACCTTCTCGCACTAGATAGCATGGAAGTCGTTGTTGTGAGCGCAGCTAAGGAAAACTGGATTGCTAGACAACTAAAATAATCCTCAGCTGTAAGGTATTGTTCAGCGATCTGCTTGAGACTTTGAACTGCTTGGGGAGAGCAGACCCATATGGGTGTCGAGGGATTGGTTTACCTTCTAACACTAAAGAGCATGGAAGTCGTTGTTGTGAGTGCAGCTGAGGAAAAATGGACTAATAGACAGCTGAAATAATCTTCAGCTGTGAGGTATTATTTAGTGATATGTTTAAGACTTTGAACTATTTATAGAACCCGCATAAGGGTGTGAGTGGGAAGCGCAGTGAGCTACTCCCAAACTTTCTTCAAGTATTGCGCCATCGTTAGATGTTTCGTCGTATGCCCATCTGAGGCTTGGTTGGTGTTCAGCTGAGAATATGAATAGATTGCAAGCTTCTACACCGCTAAGTCTTTCGCTAGCAGTGGCTGCTAATAAAGCTTTGTCTTCTGCTCTGTCGTTGGATGCTTTGAAGTTTGGAATGCTATCGGCTTGGTCGATGCGATTAAGTGCCACAAGACATGATCAACAGGGGTAGGAACCATGGTGCAAGATTGGCACAGTTAGAAGCCATGGTGATAGATCAAAGGTTGTTGAGAGCCGTGAAGCAGGTAAGCTTGACTGTGAGCACGGAGCTGGGGCTAGCTTGGGCTAGGTTGTGCACAGTAGGAGGAATTTGACCACTAGATCATGGATGCTCAGCTACTGATAATGTGCTGCTCCAGTATTGAATAGTCTTAAGTGATAAAAACAAGACGTGCTACCAATTTGGGCTAGTGTGTCCTTCTGGTACTCGTCTACCTCCATTGCGCCATTAAGCTGGGTTGCTGCGTTTATCGAAATATAAGTAGTCTTTGTACTTTCCAGTGTATGTGGGATGGTTCAGCCTGCTCGATCTTGTCAATATAAGGTGACCTGCTTATGTTGGTCATGTCTTATCCGAAAACCTCGTTAGTAACTTCATTACGCTGGAAATTGCGCAATCGTTCAGTCAGGAGCCTCTCAACTTCTTCCTGAGTTTGCCTCTGCTGGGGCAACGGAGTTTTCGACTACCCCCGGTCGTGACCTGTTGGTCTAGGCTGTTATTCCATGTGCTCATCTCGTCTATGCTGCAGCTGCAGTGCATGTGGTACGTTCCTAGCAGGATAGCAGGTTACTCGCAGGCTACCGATTGAACTTGAGTCGGATTGAGTGACTGCTTCTCTCCGTCCATCGTGTTGCATACTCTGATGTGAAGAGAAATATGCTATTTACGGGTCTAGCCACTAATGAACATTTCTCCTGGAAGGTTCTCCATGTTGATTATCAAAGTGTGGCCCCAACTGTGAATGTATGTTCGTCCGTGGGCCTAACCAGGAGTGCACTCTCTTCCGCGCGCTAAAACGATAATACGCTATCTTGGGAGCCCAGACAGGAGTGTATATTGCTAGAGTGCTTGGTTCGTGGCTAGTCGAAAAGCTGCTTGCCGGGACGCTGCTAGAGAGGTTTGTTGTTTACCCTTGTCCCGCTTCGAGACACCTCATTTGGGGCACGCTGCAAAAGCTGATTCATCAAAGTCGTCTGCTACGCAAGGACGCTTGTCAACTCTATGACTTGTCGGGACAAGTGTTGTTCACTATGCGGGATAGAAGAGCTTGGATAGTAGGTTTCTCTATAAGTGGTAGAAGTGTAGTGGATTCAGTGTACAAAATTTTGAGCCAAGATAGTCAAATCTGCAAAAACTCAGGGTGAAAATGCCCTCGGTTCAATCGTAGATTCAGAAATTTAACGTCGGGATAGTTAAACCGATCTTGGATCAATTTGGATCACTAAATGGGTCACAGGAATGGGTTGGACTGCGAAAGTGGTCGTGCCACGTGCAGGGCGCGTGGGTGCATGATGTGAAAAATAAGTTAACACACAAAATTAAACCCTCTTTTTATCAAATGTAGTAAAGTATGTAAGTAGGGATCGTTCTAGGCCGGGGATTAGGAGGGATTGCTAAACACTTGAAAACTGACTTAAAAACATAAAAACAAAATTTAAAACACTAAACTAGAATCAAAGAATGCAAAACTATACTTTAAAACACCAAAACAAACCAAAAGACTCAAAACAGCACCTAACATTCAAAACTGCCATAAAAACACAATTTGGGCAGTTTTGAACACTAAGGAAGAAATTGAACGAAAATATGTTATAACTTGACTCAATACACTTAGAAACACAAACTAAATTGATTTCTAACTAAATGACACTTGAAACTACAGGGGGAATTGGTTTTGACGAATTTAAAATAAAATAAGAACTTTGTAAAACAAAACAGGTTTTAAAACGAATTTGGTTTAAAACTTAGGGATGGAAGGCTAGCTAGGAGGTTCTTCTTCACACATGTCACACTTGCATACAAAATGATTTCCAATTGCTTTTTGATAAGTTATGAATACTCAACGCCCCAAATTAACCGTGAATTGCACTAATTAACTCTCAGTTTTTCAACAAGTTATTAGGTTGGATGATTGCATACGACAACCCAAAACATTCCCTACAAGTTCCCTACATGAATTGCATAATAGAGATACAAGCAAGAATCATTAAGTTCTATGAAAAACATAAGCATTGACGAGGCACTCGTTACTATGATTTGCATGAAACTTATGCCAAGAATTTAC